CATTTTAACTGCATGGGTGACGTCCGGCTGCCTTATGCAGACCGGTAAAGGGCAAATTTAGGAGAGGGGGATGTGGGAATTGAGGCTAGCCCGCTGCCTTTGCGTGGGCTTTGCCGCCTTTTCTGCCGTTCTCATGTCCCGACATGTCTGCCCTTCTTTGCTGTCTGCCGCGCTGGAAAAGCGGAGTGACGTTTAACTCCCTTACCCGGTAGCAGATGTTGACTGTGGCGCCGCGCGTGGAGCCTCCCGAGAGGTTTTCGCGCGCTGCGTCGCGAGCGGGCAGACCAACTAATAGGTGTTCTTTAAGCAGACAGGTACTCTCGGGGACAGCAAACGGTGAGCCACGCAATCTTTCCCGTCCGTCGACTCCCGTCACTCGGGGCTCGTCGGACTTCGCTGACGGCGCCTCACGCCCGAGGTGAACGCTCACCTTTTGTTGCCCCGCTGCGTACGCACGGCCGAGGGTGGTACGGTGTCCTAGTGCGTGGCCTAGCTACGCCGACCCGTCTCCCTTCGAAGCCAACGCGAGCGCCTTTGCCCTCGCTCGAGCAACCGGGCCTTGGCCCCGGTGTCTCCGTGGATCACCTTTACCGCGGAGACGTGCTCCTGGCACCCTGTGTAGTACTTTGTGCCCGTGGCGTGGATAAGCCTATTTGCTTTCCCGCCGCGCCTTTTTGCAACGGGCTGTACTGCGTTTGGTGTTGCCACAATAAAGTGTTCCGACTTTGAACAGTATCGTGTTCTCGCCACGGCGATGGTTAACGCGTGCCCTGCGGCTCGCTAAGACCGTCCCACGCTGGTGGCCATACTCCTTCGGGATACGTGTACACCACAGGTTTTATAACGTTGATTAGTTGCGGTGCTATTAAGTCCATAAGTATTTCTCATCAAATGAAAATTAGAGCGTACTACTTCTTTGGTTAGCCGTTTTATGTGAAGCATAAACTTCAGATTTAGAAGAATCCTACTGTGCATTCCTGCAACGAACACACATTGATTAAACCTTATCATTGCGGAGGAACTGCAGAGGTAACGTTCGTTACTTTTTTGGTAACGGTAACGCTAACACGTTGCCTTTTTTGGAGATAGCGTAGGGCGGTAACGCGTACCTGTCTGTTTTAGTAACGAGTAAGAAACTTAGTTACTCTTTTTGGTATTGTTTACGACGCTGGTATTTTCCAAGTGGTGCTGGTTAAGTAGATGGGGCGATAATTAAGCGTTGAAACACTGTCGTCTGATTTTAAAAAGTTTATTGTTTTAGATAAGACTCGATAATCGGTATTTTGACTCAGAATCAGTCATTACTAGGTACGACCAGTGTGCAATGACTGGGACAGTAGGATGGTTATTATAAGAAGCAAATAGTACGCGTCGTAATTTTTGCACTGCTAATATCAAACCATGAATACTGTCCCTAGATGACGTTTATTTATTAGTAAAGTCATTATTAATATAATAATATAATAATAATAATAATTTTATTATTAATAATATCATAATTCCTAATATTATTAACATATTTCTATCTCACAAACCATCCATCGTGTAATCCTATGCTCTGTCAATACCTTGTCGTCATGCAAGGTTTATGAGACCACTGTTCTTGTTTTTGATAGCATGCTAAACTTTCCGGCTCACACTGAGCGTACTGCTATTCGAGGCCACCCCGCCGTGGTGGTCTAGTGGCTAAGGTACTCGGCTGCTGACCCGCAGGTCGCGAGACCGACTCCTGGCAGCAGCGGCTGCATTTTCGATGGAAGCAAAAGTGCTTTAGGCTTGTGTGCTCAGATTTTGAGTGCACGTTAAGAATCCCAGGGAGTCTCATATCCGGAGCCTGCCACTTGGCATCTCTCATAATCAAGTGCTAGTTTTGGGATGTTAGAATCTATCTATCTATCTATCTATCTATCTATCTATCTATCTATCTATCTATCTATCATCTATCTATCTATCTATCTGTCTGTCTGTCTGTCTGTCTGTCTGTCTGTCCATCTATCTATCTATCTATCTATCTATCTATCTATCTATCTATCTATCTATCTATCTATCCATCCTTGTGAGGCCGTCGTTCTCTCGACTGTTTGCAGAATCTCTCTAGAATGCAGTTCTTCTACTGTCTTTCACAAATGGTACACCAAATACGCATCTATGATCTGGAATGGCATTTTTAAATCTATCATGAATACCATTTAGTGAGTCCTGAAAAAATTCATAAATATTTACAACAACCATTTCGTAAGGAGAGACTTTAGATGTCGTTCTAAAATTGCTAGATTATTATCATTGCCATGACTTTACTGCCAACTAAATCGCACTGACCTGTTCTTCTTCACCAATAGTTCATGGTATGTTATCCTGCCTTTTATTCCTCAGTTGTGTTATCAAATTGAGCTAAAGTCAACCAGGGAGAATTAACCGTTTCATGTACATGCCAGCTTCTTCCAACAAACTGCCATTTACAAAATAAAACATCTTTATAATATTAGGCTTCTTTAGCTGCTTGATGTTTTTATAGCCCACAGTCATTGATTTTATCTCAGCTTGCACAGTCTTCAATTATTTTTTCACAATGTATAAATTCTTCCTTTTTACATCTTTCAGAAAGTCTTCCGCATAGTTGTGTATAGTTCACATAATTTTTCACTACCATTCTAATATTTTGGTCGTGCCTTTTTTTTTATTCTTTCCATTTAGCGATGATCACCCCGTCACGGTGCTCTAGTGGCTAAGATACTCGGCTGTTGACCCGCATGTCGCGGGATCAAATCGCGGCCGTGGCGGCTGCATTTCCGATAAAGGCGGAAATGTTGTAGGCCCGTGTACTTAGATTTGGGTGCACGTTAAAGAACCCCAGGGTGTTTATATTTCCGGAGCCCACCACTACGGCGTCTCTCCTAATCATATGGTAATTTTGGGACGTTAAACTCCACAAATCAATCAAACAATCAATCATTCAGCGTTGATCTCTTTTTATCTGTACCAATCCACTCTTTTTATTTCATTTTTTTCTAAAAGTGGTCTGTATTAGATTGTTCATTTTCCTATTTTATTTTGGCGGGCGCCTGCCCAAAGGACATATAGTTGTTGCTTAACGTTATATGAAGTAATCCATTCATTCATTCATTATAACTAATATTACTATTACTCCTGCGTCTACTTCTACCACTAATACTACTAACAAAAATTCAGAGTGCGTAGATCGTTTCATGTGCCCACCTGCTTTTGCCAACACTCCTCTGTCGAAAGGATATAGTCTGTATAATTCTCAGTTTTGACATGAAGGAGCAGTGCACCCTGAAGAGCATCCCGATCTCGATGTTTGTCTTGTCGTATGGTAATTGTTTTCTTATATAATTTGTGCTGTTTCAGCATGGTACAGGACATTGTACATATCTATTTCTTCTTTGTCTTGCAGACCATTTTTCACATTTTTGTGTGTGATGTCATTACCTTTAGGCTTGTATATATTCTAGTTATGCTGTATTTTTGCCCTGAGCGGTGGTTTTTTTTCTACATTTTCGCTGTTCGTTGGCACTTTCTCTTGTAGAGAGTCTTTACTTATCGTTTGTTCACTGTATTCTTGCTTGCGCACGCCAGCACAAAGGCCTTCCGATTGTTCCTGAGCACACTTATCGATTAATTGATTGATTGATTGTACTAAGAGACGCGATGTGTGACGGTTCCGTGTTGCTAACGTTTCATTACGCTGAATTGAGGCTCGTGTTCGCTGGAAGCATACTCTGTTGGTCAACGTTCGGCGCATGCAAGTTCTCTTTTTGAGCCATGGTACGGCTGCCTGTTAGTGAGGCCGGAAACCGGAGCCCGAACAAAGCGCTGGGAAGAAGTAAACAGAGAAAGGCTCGTTTTCAAAGGAGGGCATGACCCCGGTCTGTTCATGTTTGCACATGAACAGCTCGGGGTCATGCTACACGAGAGCACTGAAGGCGTGACCCCACGTGCTCGTTGCAGTTCGTCATTATGTGGCTTTCTGACGCAGCGCCATGTCCTTTTCCTTTGCATAGATAGGGGATCACAGCTTCACGGTGCCGCGCACCTTTCCTCTCCACACGAATAAGGCGTGACGCCACGCCAGAAAACCACACGCTGACGGGCTGCAACGTGCACGTGGGTTCAGGCCTTAACATTACGCATGGCGCCATTATTAGAATGACCCGCTGCTGTCAACCCTAGATCTGGCACAAGTGATGCTGGCAAACATTAGAAAACCTCGAAGTAATGCTGCGTAGGTTTATCGCCTGCCAGTGACACGGGCCAACCACGTGACACATGGTAAAGTATTTATCCTAATGCAATTAAAACCTTGACTTTCGTTAAAAGCTATACCACGGTAGTTTGACGTTAGCGTGAAGTTCTTGCTCAGGTCACGTGATTCCAAGCTGTTGAGGAACAAATGTAGCGCATCCTTTAAAATATGCAGCTATCACTACTTGTAGTAAAACTGTGCTTGGTCACGAAAAGCCACCGGCCATGACGTGTTAAAACCCCAAGTAAGGCGCCGTGCGCTGCGCACTTAAGAGGGAGGCGCACAAGATGCTGGTATACTAAATATGCATGGAACGGAAGAACCATAACTTGAAGCTGATCTGGCCTACAAAAATCCGCATGGCGTGTATCATCCTGATCACAGCAGTCATCCTGAGTGAGTCAGTTTCTGCACTGAACTCGCAACTCACCACTTGACAAAGCACATCTCGAGCACCTCCCGCGCGGTGGGTATGGTGTGATTCTAGGAAGGTCCACGGGTCGACCTCCTCACTCACGGTGGTCGGCTGTCAATGCGTGAATCGTACTTGCTCTGGTGATCCGTTTTATTACAAGCATCACCGACGCGGCAGCTACAGAGCGTGTTAAATACGTGAAACCATTGTTCCTTTATTAGCATTGTTCTGAGTATCTTGCGTCAAGCGCTATCTATATTTCGATATGTATGCAAACATATGAATACAAGCTTTAAACAAACAGGACATTTCTTTTCGCAGGCAAGACGTAATTGCCTCGTTCTGGTACTTCAATGGCACGGCCTGCACGAAGTGGACTTTCCCGCATGGAAGGTGTCCAGCGAGGCAGCCCGGAATCTACAGGACACTCGGCGAGTGCTCACTCCAGTGCGTTGAAAACGGCGGACAGGCGGACAGCTTACGCTGTGGAGTTCCGGCACCGGGAGAGTGCGAGCTCGAGCATCTGCGCTATCCTTACTTTGCGGACATGCAAGCCGAAGGTAGCGCCCGGTGTGTCAACTCGTCTCACGCGACGCTGCTCGGTCGGCGCTGCCTCATCGGGATCAACCAGTTCGATTCGATCAAGGCGTGCCAGTGGGCATGCCAGGGCTGAAGCATCCTCCATCCTCAGACCATCGGGGTACATCTTTGTTTGGTGGGATGAGGTAGCAGATACTGGTTTGGCCTTTGTTAAAAAGAAGATGCTTGGTAGGCAATCCTCCAAGGCGTTTAAAATTATTCATTTGTAGTATTTGAACCGACCACTACTTAGCCTGATGACTGGTGCCTGTAGTCGCAGGTAGGACGAACGCAGAATTGTTGATTTCGGTGCTGGTTCTAACGCCAAGGTATACGTATGAAATCTGTAATTGGTCCTACGAAAAGTATGGCAGCCCTGAAGCTCGTGACGCAACGTTTTTGTGCAAGGGTGCCTCATTTTGTTCTAATCAAAAACAAGTAAACAAAACGACACCTACCCGATTTGTTCTCGTTGCATTGTGATGATGTGAGGAGGGGTTGCATTTCAAATGCACGAAGCGTTTTTGTAGCTTGTTTTGCAATTGCAAACGCATTAGAAAGAGGCAGTTATTCACAAAGAGTGAAATTTAATTTGCACTCTGATGTTGACAACTCCGCCTAGGTCTTAAGCTAATAAATCCACAAACATCAAATATTTGTCCAAAAATGAGAAACAACACGGATGGAAAGAATGGTTTCGTATAGAGTTTTCAATCTATTTGAACTTGATCTGCTAGGTACGAAGTAGTTCATTCCATGTTGTCAGCAAGCATACCTGAAAAAAAAAGGAGCGGGAACATAATAAACACTACGTAAAGAAGGCACTCATTCTAACAGAGCGGTGTCCTTACAAGACCGTCCCGAACAGCCCGCAGTTCCGTCGGCGATAGTTTAGCATACGCCTTCTGGTGACATGAAAACAAAACGTCGTACGGTCAGAGGCTCCATGGCTGGTGCCAGTAGTTTTGTTACTTTTATAGAACGATGTTTACGGGAACGTTATGAGTGCAATATAATGCAGGTACTCTTGAGAAGTGCACATGAAGGACTTATAAGTAGGCGACTTCACGAATAAATATTTAAAGTAGAATACTTACCAGCATGTCCCTCTGACTTTTCATAACGCAGTCGATGTACTGGGAGGAGAGAGAAGTGAGTCTGTTAGCTCATGTTGCATACGTGCAAGACACTGAACGAAGGAAAGTATACGACCAATGGTAGGCGTACCTAACTATTGTGTTCAAGTAGTTCATTTGTCATGAAGGGCAATGCCAGTGTTGTTTACTGTTTTTTTTTTCTTCTCTCTACCTCCTGACTGCAACACTCGCAACACTACCGAGATGGCTTCCTGAGGTAAAATGTGTACGCTCATGAAAGGTTCACTGTGCAGTATAGCCCCAACAGAAAGGTAGGCGGCGCGACCATGGTCAGTGTGGTGAAATCGCCACAAGGGGAAGATTGTTCTGCAGCATGCGGGTGATGAGTGGAAGGCGCATGATTAGTGTGTTAAAGCGGCTCTCAAGCACTTTTAAAGTACCATGGAAAGATTCTCTAAACAGCGTATTGCCTTACGAATTCAACGACGCAAAAGGTTCAAAAATATCCGCCTAGTACGAGCGGAGTAAGAAAGATTTGTCGCACGTTGCTATCGCATTCTCTCTTCTTTCGTCCGGACGAAAGCTCTGGAAAATAAGCATGAAGAAATGGCAGGGGCAAAGAAAATACGTGACGCGTGCTTCGCGACATTCGGCACTGTTTTCTTTTTTTTTTCTTCGAATACGCGGCTTTTTAAGTGTGATCGTGCGTGCACGCGTAGACAAGTCACGGCCTTTCGCGGCGATTCCTGTAACGACCGAGCATGTCATGTTCAGACCAACCAATGAATGATATAAGACCTTTAGGAGTGACTCTGGAACTTCTGTCATCTATTGTCGAGAGAAGAGAAAGTAGCTTTAGCTGACTTTGATAAATTAATAATTACAGGCCATGTGCTGAGCTTTATTATTTATCTCGCGAGTTGTTGGGAGCCCCTACTACTGATCGGCCGCGTTCTCTGACCACGCTGAAAAAGTGTTGCAGGACCCCTTTAAGCTGGGGTGGTCAACAGCAAGTAACCATTCTTAAAGCCTGATTTTGTAAATGTTTCAGTTGTGACGTTTCTGCTCGGGTCATTTGTCACTTGCACGAGTGCGAGCTCGAGCATCTGCGCTATCCTTACTTTGCGGACATGCAAGCCGAAGGTAGCGCCCGGTGTGTCAACTCGTCTCACGCGACGCTGCTCGGTCGGCGCTGCCTCATCGGGATCAACCAGTTCGATTCGATCAAGGCGTGCCAGTGGGCATGCCAGGGCTGAAGCATCCTCCATCCTCAGACCATCGGGGTACATCTTTGTTTGGTGGGATGAGGTAGCAGATACTGGTTTGGCCTTTGTTAAAAAGAAGATGCTTGGTAGGCAATCCTCCAAGGCGTTTAAAATTATTCATTTGTAGTATTTGACCGACCACTACTTAGCCTGATGACTGGTGCTGTAGTCGCAGGTAGGACGAACGCAGAATTGTTGATTCGGTGCTGTTCTAACGCCAAGGTATACTATGAAATCTGTAATTGGTCCTACGAAAAGTATGGCAGCCCTGAAGCTCGTTGACGCACGTTTTGTGGCAAGGGTCCTCAGTTTTGTTCTAATCAAAAACACAGTAAACAAACGACACCTACCCGATTTGTTCTCGTTGCATTGTGATGATGTGAGGAGGGGTTGCATTTCAAATGCACGAAGCGTTTTTGTAGCTTGTTTTGCAATTGCAAACGCATTAGAAAGAGCGGTTATCACCAAAGAGTGAAATTTAATTTGCACTCTGATGTTGACAACTCCGCCTAGGTCTTAGCTAATAATCCACAACATCAAATATGTTGTCCAAAAATGAGAAACAACACGGATGGAAAGAATGGTTTTCGTATAGAGTTTTAATCTATTTGAACTTGATCTGCTAGGTACGAAGTAGTTCTTCCATGTTGTCAGCAAGCATACCCTGAAAAAAAAGGAGCGGGAACATAATAAACACTACGTAAAGAAGGCCATCATTCTAACAGAGCGGCTGTCCCTTACACGGACCGTCCCGAACAGCCCGCAGTTCCGTCGGCGATAGTTTAGCATACGCCTTCTGGTGACATGAAAACAAAACGTCGTACGGTCAAGGCTCCATGTCTGGTGCCAGTAGTTTTGTTACTTTTATAGAACGATGTTTACGGGAACGTTATGAGTGCAATATAATGCAGGTACTCTGAGAAGTGCACTATAAGGACTTATAAGTAGGCACTTCACGAATAAATATTTAAAGTAGAATACTTACCGCATGTCCCTCTGACTTTCATACCGCAGTCGATGTACTGAGGAGGAGAGAGAAGCTGAGTCTGTAGCTCATGTTGCATACGTGCAAGCAACTGAACGAAGGAAAGTATACGACCAATGGTAGGCGTACCTAACTATTGTGTGTCAAGTAGTTCATTTTGTCATGAAGGGCAATGCCAGTGTTGTTTACTGTTTTTTTTTTCTTCTCTCTACCTCCTGACTGCAACACTCGCAACACTACCGAGATGGCTTCCTGAGGTAAAATGTGTACGCTCATGAAAGGTTCACTGTGCAGTATAGCCCCAACAGAAAGGTAGGCGGCGCGACCATGGTCAGTGTGGTGAAATCGCCACAAGGGGAAGATTGTTCTGCAGCATGCGGGTGATGAGTGGAAGGCGCATGATTAGTGTGTTAAAGCGGCTCTCAAGCACTTTTTAAAGTAACCATGGAAAGGATTCTCTAAAACAGCGTATTGCCTTACGAATTCAACGACGCAAAAGGTTCAAAAATCCGCCTAGTACGAGCGGAGTAAGAAAGATTTGTCGCACGTTGCTATCGCATCTCTCTCTTCTTTCGTCCGGACGAAAGCTCTGGAAAATAAGCATGAGAAATGGCAGGGGCAAAGAAATCGTGACCGTGCTTCGCCGACATTCGGACATGGTTTCGTTTTTTGTTACTTCGAATACGCGGCTTTTTTAGTGTGATCGTGCGGGCACGCGTAGACAAGTCACGGCCTTTCGCGGCGATTTCCTGTAACGACCGGAGCAATGTCATGTACAGACCAACCAATGAATGATATAAGAAACTTTAGGAGTGACTCTGGAACTTCTGTCCATCTATTGTCGAGAGAAGAGAAAGTAGCTTTAGCTGACTTTGGATAAATTAATAATTCCAGGCCAGTGCTGAGCTTATTATTTATCTCGCGTAGTTGTTGGGAGGCCTCTTACTACTGATCGGCCGCGTTCTCTGACCACGCTGAAAAAGTGTTGCAGGACCCCTTTAAGCTGGGGTGGTCAACAGCCATTAAGCATTCTTAAAGCCTGATTTTATATATGTTTCAGTTGTGACGTTTCTGCTCGGGTCATTGGTGACTTGCACGAGTGCACACGCCACCGTTGCGCCGATATTCGAGTTCAATGAAAGTACGCACTGGTTGGAATAGTTCTCGTTGTGCGCAGAACACTTCTCGGGTCTTGTGTTCGTCGGCTTGGGGCCCAGCCACTTGCTTCAAGCTTTCGATGTTCCTGTGGTCGCTTAGACTCGCCACCTGGGGGAGAGCATGCCAACTGTCAACGGCTAACATTTCTATGACGCTGAAGGGAGCGTGCTCCGAAATTCGCGTGCTGTTGCTAAAGACGAGATATAAATGTTTAGCTTTCAGTTTCATCAAGCAACTCGTTTCAAATGATATTCTGTAGTACTAGAATAATTTTTTTTTTTGCGAGAAGAAATTTGCCTTCGTATGAAATGTGCATTCTCATAGTCGTATTGGTAGCATGTGGCGGATCACGTCAATTCAAAGCTGTGGCTAGGTTATAAAAAAAGGAGAGGAATTTTACAGCAGTGATTCAAATACAGTCGTTATTAAGTAGACAGTAAGCAATCAGCAATGATTACAATTATTCATAGCACAGCATCGCCTCTATAACAAAGAAAAAGGAAATAAGTGAGAACTGAATAATTGAACTCTTTTCGGCATATTTAACTCAAACGTTTATCAGTTCGGGGGAAAATATTTTCACACTCATTGGCCATAAAAATGACCAAGACACAGCCAAGTTTACAGAATGTCAGTGAATAATCGGTATGAAAGTTTTGTACCCTTCTGCTGCTTTGTGTCCAATTGCCACATTCGTTTTTTTTCTCCTTCCAACAGATGTAAGACAGAAAATGTCACTTTTCGATGTACTTTAATGTTGCAAGTCTCTGAATTCTATACAATTGAAGCTACATGTAAGCGGTTCACGGGGGCATGGTTGTGAGACTCTCCCCTAGCAATGCTACTGCTCACTATTAAAAAAGCACCGCAGCACGTAACAGAACAAATACTTGGTATCGAAATTCGTGAACTATTTGGTAGCAGCAGTAATTCGAAATGCTATACATTATATATATATATATATATATATATATATATATATATATATATATATATATATATATATATATATATATATATAAAAGTGTACTTAAAGGCTCGTTTTTCTGTGTTTAGATGCCATAATAAGTTATATAACAGAAAATAATGCCAAGAAAAGTAGAGGGAAAGTTATTAGACCAAATTGCAATGTAAATGAGAAGAAATAATGGTGGGTAAAAAGATAACTTGTGGTGGGCAGCAACCAAACCTGCGATCCTCAATTGACGCGTTCGATGCGTCGACGGCGTCATTTGAAGGTTGCAGGTTTGGTTCCTGCTTGCGGCAAGTTATTTTTTCACCCACTATTCTTTCTTCGTTCTTCACATTTACATTAGAATTCCGTGTAATAATTTCCCCTATACTTTCCTGGGCATTATTGCCCTTTAGATCTCTTATATATATATATATATATATATATATATATATATATATATATATACATATATATATATATATATATAAGGGAAAAAAGTGTATACCTAAGGGCTCGTTTTTCCGTGTTTTAACACAATATTAATGAGATCTAACAGACAGTAATGCCAACGAATGTACAGGGGAAGTAATTAAAACCAATGGAATGTAAATAAGAGAAAGAAAAGTGGATGAAGAAATAACCAGCCGTGAGCAGATATATATATATATATATATATATATATCTATATAATTATTATTTATATATATATATATATATATATATATATATATATATATATATATATATATATATATATTGAGTATATGCGCGTGTGTAGCGGAACAATACAGGGCTGGTACTTGCCCATGTTTTGTCAGCCACGAAAGTACATACAGATGCACGTGACAAAAAAAACGTTCCTGAATGCTTCCAGGCTCGGAAAGTAAAGCTTACGGTTTTCGGGAAAATAAAGCTGTCTGTGCTATAAGAAGATCGCATAGTATTGTTTTTTTTTCAAAGCCATGCAGCCCCTTGAAATTAGACTAAGTGGTTTTGTACACACGCATACAAATTCGGTTCGTGTAGGGAATGCAACACGCATCAGTAGAACAGTCCGTGTATCCAGCAATCATGGTGGGGTGGTCGGCCAGGCCTGAATAATGGATCGGATGTGGCTTCCCGCATCACCAATTCGGTTCAGTCACTCAGCTTAATGCGCTAAATGATCGTATTTTCTGAGTGTAAGGCTTGAACGAATTTATCGGGAACTATTGCACAAGATTTGGAACTAGAATAATCGCAAGTTAGTTGGGCGGAAATCCGTAAGGTGCATTTTCTTTCAAATTTCAAAACTTATTTGCTATTTTTAGGTTTTGAAGAAGCTCAAAAAGTGCACATTGAACCATTCTTCCTAGATTACGATTTTTTTACGTTTCTCAACAAAAAAAAAAGCACTAGAAGAAAATGCACTTTGCAGCTTTACTTACCGATTGTGGAAACATTTCTTCGCACTTTCTTGTTGCGTTCCTCAGCTAATCATTCACATCTAGCGGGAGATATGAAAGAGAAAAGGGCATTTTTCTTCTTTCTCGTTACAGAATGGATTTATTGCGCACATAGTACTATTGCAACTCATTTCGATAAATGTAAAATAGTTTGTATAACAAAAAAAGAGAACTACAGAGTTTTTGTGCGCAATACTTCCACAGAAACAAAGAAAGGAACATTGGCAAAAATTATTTTGCATATGAAGCAAGGTTGTTAAAAAAAGAAACGCACCGCTTCTGTAGGGCTGAAATAGTACTTTGCTGGGAAGGCCGCAAAGAATAAACATGGTACTTTTCAAGCGTATACAAAGCGCTTCTGCAATGAATCTGCTGAATCAAAAATATACCCAGAATAATTAAACAAAGTATGTCATTCTTATATTCAGAGCGCAGTCTCAGTAATCTAGATTGCGCTAATTTTGAATACGATCGGGTAGATTCGAACGTGAAAAAGAAAAAAAAAAAAGCTTGTGTACGCATCACAGAAGTTAACTGTGCTTAGCTTCGCTATTTCCATTATTTATTATGAAAAACTTGCTGACTTGGAAATTTCACACCATTGTAATTTTGAATGTCGTAGGAGCATTAACTATAGGTCATGACCATTTTTAATATCGGACACAGCAATGAACTCAGTGATATGGCGATGAATTTCGCGTTGGTTTCCTGAACACGTTATTGCGGACAGGGCCGTGCTGACAGAATACTGTTGCTTTGGTAAACAGCATATCAAAAAGCGTTCTCACATAAGTGCGCTCTGTGCACTTGTGCTATATATACGATATGTCGCTAACTTCCCCCTTATATTATGTGCTATACCATGCCCCGGTGTGAACACTCGTACGACGTTAGTACAGTATTGTGAATACAAAGCTGGGAAGCGGTTCTCCTTATTTGTCATCAATCCAGCATTCCACTTCAAGAACGTTCGACGTATATTACCGCTGCCATTGTTGACGCTGAATAAAAGCAAAAGCAGCGGCCGACCACTTCGTGGTCCTAGACAGAGGAAACAACACATTGGAAGTGAAAAAAAAAAAGCAATGCCAAATGACAGGAACTCGTCTGTATCTCCGACTTCTTTCATCTACTGCATGGATTGCAACAAACGGGACGGAACAAAACTGATCATCGGGCCGCTTCTGAACTAACCGCAGATGATATCCAATGCAGTGCGCTTCGGTGCCACACTCGCAGAGAACGCGAGTCGGTTGGCCCGTGGGTGGTCGAAGAACAAGAGCAGGACGACGAGCACGATCGCTGCCCTGGACGACGGCTTCCACCGAGAAAGCGCCATGTCAACGTTCTCTTTCTTCGTCGCAGATGCACTCACTCTATATATCTACCGCGTACTGAAAGCCTTCTCCGTGTCTCACATCACCGCCCGTGCCAAAGTCGCGGGACGAGGAAACGAACCTGCTATACGGTGGCCTAACTTATACAAGCGCCTGAAGTCTCAAAAGGAAGGACAAAGATCGTTAGCATTCCGTGTAAACAGCTGCAAGCAAGCAAGCGGGTGGGGGTACGGTTGGGCGACCCTTATATGGCACGACGTGAGCGCCGTCCACTATTGCGCCAGGTCATCGCGGCACCGCTCACACATTCGCATACCGGCGCGCCCACGCACTCGAGAGAAAGTGGGGCGATCCGCGTTCGCAAACACTTCCTTTCTCCCCGGCTCGTTGATCGACTATGGCTGCCAGCTGGACCAGCTGGACTAAGTTCTTGTGCTCTTTTTATAAGGCGGCACAAAGTGAAAGACATACAAGCGTTCCATCAGAAAGGGCAGTGATCCCGAGAACAAAGTTTCAAGTGGTCCCGGAAAACTGAGGTCGACGGGTCGACGCTGTTTCCTGAAGAACTGAGCATGTTCATACAGCGGCACGGCTTTAGAGGAAGTCGTGTGCGCGCGAAGACGTTTCCTCACGAGTTTGTGTCGTAACAAACGCGTATTACACAAAGAAAAAAAAATGAAAGAAAATACGGCTTCGGCAACTGGAGGCAGGTTATAGGTAGACGGTTAAAGATGCTGGCAACACGACAAAGGTTATGTTTTAAATGAAGTGTCTTATGCAGCGTTTTAATGTTGCCGCATTCAGTATAGGTATACGAGATAGAAACACGAATGGCTCTGTAATAGCAAGCTCACGTGCAATATCGTCGCTAACAAAACATGTCGGTGTTAGATAGGCTGAAACCAATGATCCGTGGATGGGGTATGGTCTCCTGCTTTGTACTTCACGCAGATATTTTTTTTTCTTTCTGCTTCGTCTCACTGTCACGTGGAAAAGATCAGAACCGAAGATACCATATTGCAATAAAGGATAAAAGTGTGGCTGCACACTAACTGAAAACATTCAGAGGTATACGAGCTTCTTTTTGTCGCTTGTATTGTTTCTTAGCTAAATTTTGTGTTAGGACGCCTACCATAGTCCATCACATGTCTGACTTTTACAAAAAGATGCAATCAGACGATTTTAAAATAATATTGAAGATGATTGCAAAACGAAGACGTAAGTTATTGTTAGCTTCTTATTATTATGCAAACTCGTACCTTATCAGGGAGACGTGGGTATTAACTTGACAGCGTTTTACAACAAGGTCCACCGGGACAACAAGGTCCACCGGGACTGACATTATTTCCGCCATGAAAGTGCTCTCCAAAAAATATACATTGACTAACTTCAACAACAGTCAGACGAAAAAATTGATTCATTTGAATGACATCGAAATCGAACCCGCGCCTTCTCATTGACTTTTTTTTATTGAGCGCTTCACCACTGACACACGTGCCTCTCACCCTTCCTCTCAGAGGGATCTCCGATGGCGAGGAATATATATATATATATATATATATATATATATATATATATATATATATATATATATATATATATATATATATATATATATATATATATATATATATATATATATATATATATATATATACACAAAGAAGGACACTTCATTGGCGAATTGAACTAAACGCGTACAACTCGCACTAGCCTGTAGGTACTCAGGCTATATTAGGTACTCCGATATTTGTCCCCACACTTATTTGGTAATAATTAATAAATACCCATATTTAATTATGGGCTGGATACCCAAGTTATGAACACTAAGATGTAGAGCACTTTCGGAAACCACCGACAATTTTTTTGCCTGTACGATACGTGTAGTGCTGTTATTTTTTCCACGTTGTAAAGAAAGCCTATAGCAGCAATGTAGCAGTGCGCTCGCGGTCTGTCACACGGCTACTTTTCACGTTTCGTGGGCTTTGTTTACAACGTGGAAAGAACAACAGCGTGAGACGCATCGTACAGGAAACAATTTAGTAGGTGGTTTCTGAAAGTGCTCTACGTCTCAGTGTTCAGTTTTTGGGTTTCCAGGCCATATATAAAAACTTAGGTATTTAAGAAATAATATTTATTTAGTATGGTGAGAATTAAAAAAAAATATAGCCTGAGTACCTACAGGCCAGTGCAAATAGTATGCGTTTGGTTCAATTCGCCTCCTAAGTGCCTTTCACTTTCAAGTTCTTGGCTCAAGTTATGTGGAACACCCTGTATATTCATTGCTTTCATTGCATTTCACGTCGTGTTCTTGTGACGGCTTGTTCAGAGAGTAATACAGCTTCCATATGCACGAACGACGTTTCTCCACCACCTACTAGTTCCATGGCGATAGCACAGGCATATAAAACTGCTGAAATGATCTGCACAGAAAGGCAATGATGTCGACGGGCGAATGTTGCTCAGTCAGTGACTATAGCTGCACCGAGAGAGGCTTTCTCGGGTAGCCGAACGCCGTCCACACGTTAACCGCTCAAGCTAAAACTCTTCCTCTCCTTTTCCAAAGGGGTGCGTGGTACATGCGTGAACACGGGAGGAGTTACCCTATTACTGAGGAGCGCACAACGTGGACTTTGTCTCGTCAGATGGCGATGCTTTGATTCAGTGCATATCGAGCACCAGCATAGGTCAGCAAAAACAAATTTAGAACTCCCTCAACCACTCATAAAACGTTTACCTCGTCCTTGGAGCTAACTCCGACTCACACTTGCTGATGTTCTTCGTAACCTATCTCAATTTTACCTGAAATCTTATCACGCACAAAAAGGGATCTTCCTTTAACATGCACTCAACCTGTTACAATGTATACTTTGACCAGATTCACTCGAATCGAAATACACTAGAGGTTTCTTTTATGGGACCCGCTCGTACTCAGACTGACCAAAAGATTACTCACTTAAACTCACTCACGGTTCCATCATAGTCTGAGCGAGCTGACTCATGAGTCTGTTAGCGTACTATTAGCCGTTTCGTTGAAGGTGTGAATGCATTTTAACACCAATATGTGACATATACGGTGTTGCACTTCGCTATTTTTCTATAGTGTAATATAATGCGAGCTATCAGTGATTGCTATAAACTGAGAACAATTTTATTGAAAGCGATGAATCCAGCTATATGTTCTTTCACGCCCTTCATTTGTAAAAAATGGGGGGATGGGGCAAGAAGCCTCTCCTCCTCTGTAAGTAACGCATTAGTTGAATTATATTGAGCTGGCACATGAACGTCATCGCCGTGGTCTGTGATTCGACATAATCAACACAGGCTTGAGACAACGTAAGGAACACTCAAGTTGAATATATATAGGAGAGAGGTCGGCAAAACAATGTGGAGCTCACTCAGACTGATTCCTAAAGTATACATCGCCCTTAGGGCTTATTCGGACACTTATGAAACTTTTCCTCAACCTAACCCACTTGTACTCACACTCAGCAAAGTTTTTCTTACCATACTTCCTCGGATTCTATCTGACCAAAATATCACTCATCCGGGCTCACTCAGACTGACTGATCACTTGATCGGAGTCTGAGTTAGTCTGACTGAATTGACGCATGAGTGTGGTTGCCGACCAGTGTTGACTGCGTACTTGGTGACCATCGTTGGCGGTATTCACCCTATGCTGCGTCCGGGACCATGTTCAGCCA